GACTTCAGATATTTTATTTTGATTTTTTTTATTGCCATTATTGATAGTAAAGTCGTACCTCAATTTTCACTAGAATACTACTAGCATTGCAATTTTTAGCTATTTACAGGGCTGACGATTCTAAGATTGCTCAGTAATCTCTTAATTTACTCCTTTCTTTGTGCGTCAGACATAGTTTAATGCATTTTTTGTCAGTATACCTGGTGTAGTAATTACTTTTGTCTGACTTTATTACTTTCTACATTTAGTCATGTAAATTTGAAATGCATTTTCCTCACATTTTAATTTTCAAACTTCGTAGTTTACTTTGATTTTTTGTTAGTTAATGAAAATCCGAAGAAAATGATATTTTTTGAAAATTTCTCTAGAATAATTTTTATTCCTCGGACTTTGTTGTTTTTCAAACATTTCTAAACTAAATGGTAGTTTTTGCTCATTTTTGGGATTTATTTTGTAACCCGTAATTCTTATTAATAAAATAAGTCTTCATGAAAACTCTGTAATAGTTTTAAGGAGTACAAAAAAATTTTCAGATTTATTTCTTGTTTAATTGTAAATATTTTTTTAAATCTTCATTTTCATGGGATTTTAACTTTTACATTGTTTATGTTAATGATATTTTTGTAGAATTGTTTCCTCTATATTTTTTTAGAATAATTTAAAGTCATTAAATATATTTCATTCAATTTATGCTTGAAATTTTTAAAATATTTTAAAAGTATATAACATAATTTCCCAATATCATTAGGTTTTTAAATTTTTTTTTTAAATTTTCATTAGTCTTTTTCGTTATCTAGCTATCCAATTTTGTTTCGAATAGCTATAATTCGAAATATAATATTACATTGTTAAGTTGAAAAAAATAATAATAACCATGTATAACATACAATATACTCTAATATACAATACACTCTAATATACAATAAATGTTAGGTTATAATTTCAGAATTAACAATGTGTTTAGATTATACTTCGTTAAATAAGAAACATATTTAAATATGGCAAGCTGGAAGATATATATACATATATTTTAATTTGTGTAAATATATATATAGTTCCTTTTATGTGAACTTAATTTTTATCTTAGACTAAATCAGAGAAATCAGATGACTTGTTAAAATTAAAAGTCATTTTAAAATGAAAATTAATTCCTTCATTTGTTTTAATTTTTTTCATCCCTTGTCCTTTATCATGAAAATTGAATTAATTTTTCTCCTTGGAATATTGCAGAAAAATCTGAAGACTTGTTAAAATTCAAAGTCATTTTAAAATAAAATTCAGTTTGTGAAATCAATCTCTTTTACGTCCTTCCTTTGTTTTATTTTTTTTTATACCTTGTGCTTTATCATTAAAATTAAATTAATATCATAAAGTTAATTTTAATTTCTTGTATACTGAAAATTTATATTCATGATTAAATTCAAATCTATGTCAGAATCAATATGTAAATCACAAATTATTCCTGATTCAATATGTTTCTGCGGAGCGAAAAACCATTTCATGTCATTATGATTAGAATGCATCTACAAAATGTCTTGCTCAACATTAACAAATTCAAAGGAGTAAAATTACAAAATTAATTAAATGTTAATGCACTTTTTTCTTTTTAATTTGTTTTCGATTGCTAAATCATTTTTTGTTAACTAATTTGTTGCTGTGAATGTAATAGTTAAATCATAGTCATAAACAACGGAAATAATTTAAATAATTACAATTAGTTAATTACAATATAAATAATGCAACTAATTTTAAAATATTAGTTCGGACGAAGTTTATGACTTTGCATTCAGAACATACCCTTAAGAAGTATAACCCTATAGCCTCTGTAACTCTGTGGGGGAAACATTTTGAGCGTGTTGGGTCATCTTGACCATCATTTAGTAGCAGGTGTTCCTTTGTAGCACTCCTTACAATGCCCTTTGTTCATTTTGGGGGGAATAAGTTTGTGACGAACCGTATCTGTCATCGTAAGATGAGTGCTTGAAAGAAACACCTGCCTGAATAATCTGTTTGAAAGTTAATTGAGGGGGAGGGTGGAGCTAAACATTTACATTTCATATCTTGAAGGCAATAGATTCCTTCCAAGAATCGAACACACTGTCAATGTCACACTAAAGTCATATTTTCATTAAATCAGTCATATTTTCATTCAGGTTCAAATAATAATAAACGAGTTTCTTAAAACTTGAAATACGGGTATCCAGTCACTTGATGGTATCTTTCAGGAAGTAACAATTTGTATCAATTGTTAAAGTAGTTCCAAATCGAAATTTCGAAGCGCGTTTAATTTTTCTTTTCCTTTGGAAATTTATTTATATAATGGCTACCACAAGCGTGGACAATCGCGATTTCTCACTTGTTTACAAAGCTTTCCATCTGAGAGAAAGTGCTCCAAATGGAATGATTTGCCTTTGCGGGCTTGAAAAAGAAGATACTGTTTTTTCTAAAGATGAGGAAGGAGATATTGAAAAAAATATTGATAATGCTAAATTTATGGGATCTTTCGCCAGTCTTTCTTAAGAATGATTCTTTTCAAATAGAAAATATAATGGTACCAACATGTGATGATGATATTTCATCAATTGACAAGTTGAAAAAGGTTTTTCGTGATATGTCATCTTACAAGAGATTGGTGTGGTGTGGCAACCTTCTGATTGAATTCCACGAAGAAAACCAATGCTGTCGGTATTTAACGTCTGCTCTGAAGTTCTATGTAAAAGCGATTGAATACGTGAGAAGCGTTCTCCTTCGCTATATCCTTCCTGTTAATACGAAAATTAAAGAACTTTTAAGGCTTTCATCTAAATTTTGCGTTCACCAGAGTGTATTTCTCGAACTCTTGAGATTGTTTATTATAAATAGATTTTATTATTGGCGAGACTCTGTGACTATCGATGATTTTTTATTGTTAGAAGATATATTTAGAGCAACAAACGAACTTAAAATAGATATATTTGCATTATGGAAAAAAGTAGACAGCAGATATCACGATTTATTTACTGAGTGTGTATATGATAACGTTGAAATTTTTTTTCCATTAATCAAATTTGGAAAGACAGAGTGCATATCAATAGAGAGAGGTAAATATTTGCTGGCATCATTGAACTTGTAAGTATTATTATTTTTCCATTTAATTTATTCTCTGTTTGTTAAACTATTATTTCTTCGTATCGAATTTTTGAGAGTATGAAGTTGTGAGAGTATTATATTATTTTTTATATCAAGTGCAAAAACCCTTCAAATTGCCCCAAAATGTGGAAAACTGCTTCATTTACAGTCATCCAAGTAATCACCGAATATCAGCATTTTTTTTTTTTATTTCAAATTTTTTCGCAAAATGTTTTTATTTACCAGATACACTTGTTTTTTTTTTTTTTTATTACAGTATTTAAAATATTGTATTTAAAACAAGAACAACATTGAAAGTTTTTTTATTTTCTAAAATTTTTTTACGTTTTATTTGTTTTGCAAGTTATCGGCATAATTTCTATTAAATATTACTATTCATGTGAAATACATTTTATTATTAATTGCACTGGAATTAAATAATCTTCCGGTTTGACTGACTTTTAAAATCCACTTGCTCGCAGGGTGTGGAGGAAAAAAAACGGACAAACAATTTTGATGAGAACTTTATTAAAAATAAATAATCACAAAAAATAATAATAGATTTACTAATACATAAATTTAATTGACAATAAATAGCAAAATTTAAATCTGATTAACAAAGCGGCAGTCCCGAGGCGCAGATGTTTATTGAAAGCAGTAGACCGCAAGTCACCATAAAGGTGTTTCGTGGAAAGGCCACAGGGGTTAAGCACTTTTTTTTTTAAAAAAAACTAAAAATAATTTTTAAAGCCTGTAATAGGTTTTCTTTCAACCAATAATTAATCTATTTTATTAATTTGGTTATTATTATGAAATCATTTAAATTACATAATTCCCCAATGAAAAAAAAAAAAGAAATAGAAAATTTTGAAATTTATCATTAATTTTTTCTCAAATAACAATATACTGAATAAATTACTAAAACGATTTGCATTTGTATCAGCAATTCTCAATGAACTTTAAAATTCAAAAAAATGTTACAAAATTTAAGAAATACTAATTGTTTTTCTCTGATAACTTTGACATTTCATAATTTTCCTTTTCAAAAGCCGCAATTCGGTTAATTTATTCAATTTGATCTTTATGCATACGCCAAGAAGTAAAAGACTAAAAGTTGCTGCAGACTTGCAAATTCAACTGTCTAACATAAAGTCTATTTTTAAAACTGGTATGGATGAAAGAATGAAAAAAAAAATTAATTATTCGCAGCAAATTCACATCTGCTAATTTGCTTTTTTTAAAAGTCAGTGTTCCACCAAGGAAAGTTAATGATTAAGGGTTACGTAGCTGGAAAAAAAAATTGTGAAGCCTCCTGCTTTAGAGAATTAAAAGTTTACATATAATATATAGTTAAAAGAAAAAAATCTGAGCACCTTTAGAACTACTACTGGTCGGATTTTTATTCTGTAAAATGCTTTGATAATTATAAATTATTAGAAATTTGTATAACAGTTTTTATAATAGGTATTATAATTTTTACCGAGGCGGAATATACTTTTTGGGACGATACAAAACGCACTTTTTTTACAAACTTACTTTTTTTCCAATATATACGGATTTATCCTCCCAATAAAGGAGGTAGACAAAGTTCTGAAAAGATGGTTTTATAGTTTAACCGCTATAGTGTTTCAAATTTTTCTTACCCTGATATGCCAAGTTTCGCATCTTATCGTTTAAATTATTTGATAAAATACAATAATTCTTTCACAAAAAAGCCCCTGGCCCAGAGGCGAATATGTAATATAGAGCAGGGATGGCTCAGGGGGTAGAGCGTTCCCCACTGCAATAGCTTGTATAACAATTTTTCTGTCAAAGATTTGATTTTTAAATTTTTTTTTCTTTTGTGATTCCTATTTCTTTTGTATTCTTACTGACTTCAGGAAGGTAATCCTACTCAATCTATTACCCTCCCTAAGCACAGGAATGCCACCTTAATTGACAAGATTGGGCTTATCTCTTATCTCTGGACTATTTTTTTTCCCCATTTTTCTATTGATTCACTCACCTAAATGTCTAATGAATTTTACGTGTTTAATTTGAAACTTCAGGAATGTAAAAAATTCTGTTAAATAAAAATGAAAATGATTCTAATTGTAAACAATTTTAGCTCAGGTCGAAAGATATTGGGAAATTAGCGGGTTTTAGAAGAAAAGAGGACAATTTCGCTTAAATCATCGCGGAAATTCGTGCCGCGACAGACCTGTACCCCTAAAATGATAACTTTCAAAATTATTAAAAAATTGAAGATTGAATGTAATTGGTGGTAAGTTCATGCGATTGCCCGGCCAATAAAGCTATAATTAGAATCAACTGTAGCTGCATAATAGTAAAATAAGTAAAACCTGGAGAAAGCCTTTATTTTTTTGTAATTTTTATTGAGTAAAAATTATTTAAAAATTCATGAAAATTGCATCACTTGTGGAACAGAGACCAAGGAGTCTTCTTTGGGCATATTAGGATTTTTTTTTATTTCTTGTTACATTTTTTATTTTGCTTTAAAAAAAATTTGAGTGTAAGGGGATTTACAAATCTTAACATGAACATTACTTATACCATTCATCCAACTTTGCCATCAAAATTTAGCAAATAATAAGACTCATCCACCATAAAATGCTTACACAGTATTTGAAGGGCCTCTCATTCCTTTTTCCATCACGATTTGGAATTTTGACCACGTTCTGACATAAAGAAAGTAACAGGCACAAGACTAAAAAAAAAATTACTGGATCATAATTATAATAACGAGTTATAACTTTGAAAATGCTATGTTTGGAACCTAACGCGGTAATTGTTAAATCTGGATAACTTATAAAATAGGATGTAGTATTAATATTTTTATTTTTTTTTCTTCCAAAAAAGAGCGGAAGAAATTTATCTTGTTTTTGTTCATAAATTTTAAGATTAAAGTTGAATTGAGCAAGATATATTTAATACAGCAGGCCGAGCAAGCGTTGAACTCGTTGTCGTGTGAAAGGGAGTTCAAATCCAACAGACCGATGAATCCCAATGGTGACTGGTGCACGCTAAATTCTACTGGAGTCACAAAGTCCTCCAAGTTAACAAAGCAAATCAATACATCTGGAGATACTGATCCAGGAGTTTCCTAGCCTTCTGGATTGGGTTCGAAATTACAAGGTCACGGAGTGGAACATTAGTAGACGTAAACTCAAATTGGGGTCGGCCGGTCAGCGACGGTTATAAATTAAAATACTTTACAGCAAATCAGGATTAATATATGACTACTGTAAGGTATTTTGTTATTAATTATATTCTTTTCATCAATTATATCTATTACATTCATTAATTACATTTTTTATATTCGTTAATTATATCTATCAATAATGATATTTGCACTTAAAAAGCCAGAAACTAATGATAAGCCTCACTTTCAAATTGTGCTGTTATCAGGCGGAAATTCTATAAATTTGAAAAGTATTTATCTAGAAATTATGCTAATGGACTGTTTGATGTGCAAATGTCGATTTTGAACAACTGTGGCTTATCATTATATTGTACCAACCCTTATATTTTAGTAATTTTAAATTATGTTTTTTTCCTGTTACAGTTGGTGTGTGTCAATAACAGTGAACAGTGACTATAGATACAACTCCACAACATTCCGCGGTCTGCAAACTCTGCGTTTGTTTTTTCTAGCAAAGTCCAAACACATTAAATCGCCTACAGGATCCTATGCACTGAAGTTATTGTGGAATAGTATAACAGAACCCTTCCTGTGTCAGGAGGTGTTTAAAAAGAGTGTCATAGCAATCAAGCATGATCTAAATGTCTTAACTGCAGCATGGGATTGGTATGTAAGTCATGTGTTGGAAAACGACGTCTCACCCAGAGGACCAAGATCTCTGGCCCATCTTTCAAGGTGTTCCGTTCGTCGGCAACTGGCGACATGCCTTCAGCTTCCGCGTGGTGTTGACCAGCTCGGTGTTCCAAAGATTCTAAAAGATTATATTCTTTTGGAACATGGAAAGCTTTTTATTTGTGCATAACTGAAAATGCTGTATAATTTCGATGAATAAATTTCACTATAATAAATAAATTACAATTGTTAATTTTACATTGTTTCGACTCGACACAAAAGATAAACTTTCCCATCTTTTCCTCGGAAATTATTTAAACTCCAGAATACATTGCTATACAAATTCGTAGCAGAAATGTTAAGCTATAACATTTTGTAGGAAATACATTTTCAAAACACGAATTTTTTATTTGCAGGTTTTATAATACAGAGCATCGCTTGAATATTAATTATATAAGTGATATTTTTCACACGAACAGGGAAGTATTGTACACTTTTATGTTTTTAAAATATGATTCTATTAGTAAAATAATAGAGTCATATCAGACTTAAGAACCTAAAATTGCGATGGTGTGCAGAAAATGTACAAAGAATTTGATAGATTATTATTAATAATAATATTCGATTTTTAGGTCGAGAATATTAACAGTAAAACTTTCAAAAAGGATTGCAACCAAATTTTCAGCAAAAAATAAATGCCTTTTAAGCACTTAAAAAATAATTTAAATTTTTTTTCTAATTAAAAAAAATCACATTTTTTCCTCTCCATGTTAAAAGTTTATTATAAGTATAAAATTATCAAAATAGAAAAACATTTTAAAAGATTTTATATAATCATTTGAAAGTAATAATTTTCAGACAAAGAACTCAATTCTTAATTTTATTAGCCACCACGAAACATTTTATGCACAATTTTAAACATATACAATACAGAACTCCTCATTATATTTTTAAATTACTAATTTTTCTTCAGTTGTATAAAAAATTTATTTAAATATAAATTTTTAAATGTACACTCAACAAAAACATTTACAAGATTAGTATTTGTAATTATGTTCAGTATTTCTTTAATGAATTATCCCAAAAATTTATTCAATAATTCAGAAATAAAAAATTCAATCAGCATTGTAGTTTAAAAAAAAATTTCCTGGAGTAAATTATTAAGATATGGTTAGTAATATATTTATCATATTTAACAAATTTGAAATGATCAAATATTTAATTTCAATTATTTTTAAGTCAAGTGGTAAAGAGATAAATTATAATCACATAAGATTTCTTGAGGCATTTGCTGAATAGTGAAATAGTCATTCAGTTCATAATTTTTTTTAAATCTTCCCTCTAAAAATTATTCTGTCTTTAATCATAAAATAACTCAAGAGTATTGAAAATAATAACAAATCCCATAACATAAAATAAAATTTCTTATCAAAAAAAAATCATTTTTATTTTACTCATCAGTATTTATTATAAATAAATTTCCTCTAATTTGAAATATATTTATCTTACAGACGTGAATTTTATACCCATTTATATTTCAGCATGGAAATTACATCGGAAAATATTCACTGTAAATAATAATGCAATGTACATGTAGTAGAAATACTTTTTACTCATTAAGCGTTTTAAAATATTCATTCTGTGGATGATTGTATAGTCTCATTTGGTTCAAGGTAAAAAACTACTTTGTAGTTTTTTACGTTGGAAACACTGACTGCTTTGTTTAAATAGTGCAATGTCAGAAGAATAAATAGGTGCAAATTTGCCTTTTTGTGTATAAAACACATATAAATTCTAAACTATAAGTTAGAATATCTCGAGAGTAGTTTAATTCAACTGAGCGTGAAAAAATATGTCAGAAACAATGCCTCATTTGCTATTGTTGGCGAAATTTAAAAATTTTATTCTCATCTATCAGCACCAATTTCTCTCAAATATAAATATATACACCTTTTTTTTTTTTTAAACTGTTGTTTGTTATTTTTTTACTTATTATTTCCCCCCCTTTTTTTTTTCATTTGTCTATTATTTTTCTTTGTTTTATTCTTCATTTTGAACATATATTTTGGCAAAATTAAGGTCTAAGCACTAGGCAGCTAATATTTTCCCTGAATCCTGAATTTAACCCTTTGCAAACGGCTGGCACAGCATATGTGCCGCTCAAAAAACTTGCCCTTACAATGGCGTTGGCGCAGCAGCTGTGCCCGCTGTTTCCTTTCCCAGAACTTGTTTGATCACCCATTATCCTGTCATTTCATCACACTCCTCTTTTAAAAGACCCTTTTGTTGGAAAAGGAGTTATCAGAGTCTTCTTTGACTTGGCTGAAAGATATTTAGGTTTTTTTTCTATTATTTGGTGAATTTTAAGTGCTTATAAACTCTTCATAGTCTTTATGATAGCTGTGCTATTTTTCATTACTTATTTTCATTTGAGATCTATTTCATAAAATTATTCAATATTTTATTTATTTTGTTTATTTTAGATTCGGAGTCTTTTCTTTGCATTATTATTCCCCTTTTGTGTTTAGAACACCATTTTAAATTATTTTTTAGTAAAAAAATTTTATTTTCTATAGCAAATATTTTATACAAAATTTCATACAAAAATATTTTATTTTGTAGCAAAATAATTTATAAAAAAATTTATAAAATAGTAACTAATTAAGTTTTTGTAGTTAAAATGAGAATAATTCAAAAATAAAAACGTATTTAGCTTCTCATAGCAAAAAAAGAAGAAAGAAAAACAGAAATTTCTTTTAATAAACTAAATTGCGCTTTTTCTGATCTAAAGGGAAAAAAGCTATTTTTGAAGAAATTATTATTAAAGAAAATTGATCCAAAACTAAATCTAACTCTCTTTTTCAAATACAGATTGTTTTTTAACTTGTTCAAAAAATAATTAGTGGATGAATTTAAAATCCTAGTATTATTATTGTCCCTTTTTAGTATATACCAGGAGGAAACTTGATTCATTTCTTTTTCTACCACTTATCTATTTTTAGGCCGAGAAATGATTCTTGAAAAAGTTAATCAAATTCATTTTAAATAACGATATATAAACTCAAACATAAACATGATTATGAGTTTATTTTATTAGAAGAACTGCGGAAAATTAAAGGAATTCCCAATAAAATAGAGTGAAAGAACAAGTATTAGTTCTTAATGGTGTATTGAAGGGGAACAGTTATATTTATAAATAACTAAAGATCAATGAATACTTAAAATGCTTGAATTATCTTTTTAAAAATTAACAATTCTCAGATTTTGTCAGGTATGATGTATTTTAAAATTATGCAGAATCCTTCGTGTTTCAAAATAAAAACGATAACGCACCAGACGAGACTTTGGAGGTCTGCAAAATTGACATATGAATGGAAAATTGAGCTCTATATAGATTTTTACTGCACAAGACCACCTTAAATGATAATGGTTGAAAAGTGAATAGAGTTTTTGTTGTAGATAAAAAAAAAGAGGTTCAATAAAAAGGATTGCAGTCTGAAGATAAAATCATTCAAACTGCGCCTATTTTTGGTAGTTGTCTTGTGTTTGGAAGGCAGAAAAATTATTATGTGAACATCAATAGGATTGTTTTTAATATGTGACCTTGAACAACAAGTTTACTCTCAATTAAATAATTTCCATTTCTCAAAATGCCACCCACATGATAAACAATTTTTCATTATTCAATTCATGATTCAATTTTGCTTAAAAAATTTTAATATTAGAGTTCTATTGCTTGTTTGTTTTTTCCTCTTCTCAGAAAGAAAAATATGAATGGGACAAAAATTGTATCTTTTTCTGTAAATTGTTGTATTTATACACCTGTTCTTGCAAAATTTGGGTGAGGGGGTTTCATATCTAAAATTAGTTTTCTTTCCAAAGCTGCAGTTTTTCTTTAAACAAATGAAATTTCTGGTCTAATTTTTTTTCAATGAAATGCTTAAAACCGGAAGTTCGCGTGAATGTTGCAAAAGATTTTTAGGGAAGTTAAGGCCCATCATCGGGATTAAAACTGCATGGGAGCCAATGCACAGAAATGTCGTAGTACGCGGTTAGAGGCGCTTTCTTATTATGAACTGTTCAGAAGCACACGGAAACAGTTCATAAAGGGGAAGCGCTTCTAGTGGCGTATGAGGATTCCGAGCATGGGTTTATTGGCATTTTTAATCCGAATGGTGCGTTCAGACTTTTCTAGCAATTTGTGGCAGCATTTACACTATTTTCTGTAATATATTATGTTTTAAACTTGTCAATTATTACAAAAATGGACTAAAAAGGTCATTTAAAAAAACTGTAACCTGGAGAGAGAAACCGATTACAGACTTGAAATCAGCGTTACTAAAGTATTTAAGAGCTGCTTACAATCTCGTTTTACACAAAACAAAACAAAAATTTCTCCACTGTAATTTCTCAATGTTTAAAATTCCCATATTTTTGCCGCTTTTTCGACCTTTTTTTTGGGGGGGGGTCTCCGTTAATTTCAGTCTTCTTTTGTAGAAAAGTGGGAATCAGCGATTTCTCAGAATAACTTTTGAGACCCGCGATGGCTCAAGGGATAGATTGTTCGCCTTCCATGAGGTGAACCGGGTTCGAATCCCAGGGATGGCTAGTCGATACGAATTCCGCATCCGTCTTGCCCTGACCACAGTGCTGGCGTGAAATATCTTCAGTGATAGATGGATCATGTATTAGAGTCCCCTTGCCGTCTAGCTAACCGGGAGGGAGAGATTTTCGTGGTTTTCCTCTTTATGTAACGCAAATGCAGGTCCATCCAAAAAGTCTTCCCCCAAGGCAAATTTCTCCCAATAGTTGGCCCAGGAGTTCCCTTGTCTTCTGGATTGGGTTCAAAATGACAAGGC